GGGAAAGAACCATTAGGCATGGTACCACTTTGACAGCTCTTCTTACTGCTGTCTCAATGCCTGACACGCTCGGAGGGAAAGCTGCCCCTACCATCTGCAGCACATTTTCCCTGGCCGCTGTTGCAATACTGCAGCGTGCCATGCCAGCTGTCAGTCCTGGGGCACCTGCTTGGAGAAATTCAAGTCCCATCAAAAATAATTTAGGTGCGAGCATGTAGAAAAGGGCTTATCCTTCCCCACAGGCCCCAACTCAGCTAGAAAGCCCAACCTCTCCCAAATGATGCTAAGCAATGGGATATATACGATGAGTAATAAGAATATTTGGAATGTATGAGAATTCTCAGCCGTAGAGGCACAAAATAAAAGCTTCAGATAACACTGACAACCATCCAAGGTATCCACCCAATGACAAATGGAATTAGATATTAAAAAAAAAAAAGCACACAGCCACTTGGAAGTCACTGCTTGCAGACACAGGGCCCTGGACATACACAAGTCCAGTCCTACGTTCTTACACTCTGATGCTGAACCTGGAAAGCGTACCCAAGTGCCGATACCTATAAACATGACACACTAACCACACCCAGCCTACACTCGGCGATGACGAGGGGCTACACTGAATAACCTCCACACAGGGTTCAACACCTCAGCTGAATCACCAAAATATGCTTCTGTCTGATCATGTTAATTATAATCCTCATCCTCCTTCATCTCTGCTCTTTCCTTCTTTGTCACCTGTACTTGCTCTTTCACCTTACCGCACCTTAGAAACTCAGACGGAAAATCTCTCGCGTGAAGACCGCAGATCTTAATTATTACATGGCACCTTGCAGACTTCTTGCTACTGTTAAATAACATAGTAAGTTTCTTTCCTTGACATTTTTTTTTAAAACAAATGCTATACCCTTTTGCTAGCTGAAACACAACAAAGAAAGTCAAAGCTCAAGATTACTGGTCATAGCAGGCAGTCACATGAAACTGAAATCCTTCTGAACAAAACTATTCCTCTGTTCTTAAACTGTGCTTTTATAGAAGGAAGAGACAGGCAAGTTTCAGAAGCTAGTGTTTATTTTAATTTCTCTCCACACCCTGAAAGCCAATTTACCTATCATTAATACGTAATTCATGCTTGCTTAGATGAAATTATATTCTTCATACGTCCCATATCCAACAAGTCACTTGATCTTGGTCTACCTGGTTAGCGATTAACATTCTGTATTGCAGTGACCTGCTTTTCCTCAACTACTGAAGAGGGTTTTTTACATGCTACCTCCTTTATGCAGAGCATAAGGAATGTGCACTCTGTGTATAAGCAATATATTCTCTATCACGTTTTTTAATCCATCTCTTGAGAGAGAATGCCGACAGCAGGTTTGGCATCCGTGACTGCCCAGTGAACTCAAGGTCTTGCTAGTATTCATTAAATCTCTCTTTGTGAAATACCTTTAAGAAAGCACACAGACAGGATGCAAGAGTTCCTTAAAGTCATGTCCTCACAGGAAAAGAGGAAAGATTCAAAGCCAATTTGCCATGCACTAGACACCTTGTCTGGTTACTGTCATCACAAAGGTAAGGTTAAAATCCCTCACCTAGGCATCCTGCAGACAGGGGACAGCACGGTTTGGAAGAGGCGGTAAGCCAACCTAACAGCTATTGCCAAACAGGGAGGTCTCGGTCCTTCCTTCTGGCTACCTGGGCCTGTTGCTCACCTTCCACCACCACTGGGCTCAGGAGACTCCTCCATAAGACACTTTAAGTGACTTCAACAGCAGACAACTTCCCAACTTGTAAAACTGACGTATTCAGACACTACAGAAAGTTACATCTGCCCAGCAAAAGCTCTGAAGAACATCAAAGGCCATGCAAACAAGTGGGCAGACCTGTACAGAGGGGAAGAGAGGAGGCAGAAGAGTGAGATCTTCTCCCAGCAGAGATGAACTGCTACATCAGCTCACGGTGTCCCATGAAAAAAACTCCTCAGAAAGAGTTATACTCAGCCTCTAAGCTGGGTTATATATCCAGACAGCCTTAACTTAGCCCTGTTACCTTGGCAAAAGACTCACAGGGCAGCTCTCCTTTTAGCTCAAGAAATAGCTTAAATTCTGTTTTAATAGCACATCGCAAACTTTCTACAAACTCTGGCTCCATTACAAAGCATGTTCTTCGACTGATTTCTGATTTCTTTAATGCTTCCAGTAGGTTGAGAGATGAATCTTATATTAGCCACTACTGAAAATCATATCATCATAATTTCCACCTCATTAAGTTCTTGATATTATTAAAGCAGGTTAGCCTTTTAGACAAATTATCTCCCTGCTCTTTTGGATAGGATCACACATGGACTCCACCCTTGCTTTTACTAGTTTCACTGTCTCCTAGGTAAGCAGTGTACTTGCTGCCCTTGAACAACAAGCAAAATTAGGATGCATCAAGATAAAGATGATAAGCATGCACATCCAAACCCAATGATTAGTTCATCTTGTAGTACGGAGTCATTTGTTGAGGCTTGGTATTATTATTTCTTCCAACTATACAATTTTCTTTTTCCAGGCAGCACAAAATTTAGAAGAAGTTAAAAGATGACAGAAGTGGCTCACTGTTAAACTCCGGAGATTTATCACAAATCTTGTAGCTCAACAAGATTTTAAATCTCACCCATTATTATTGCTAACCTGCTTCTACTTTCAGTCATTACCAAGCAAACACAATCAACTACTCATTTGCTTCATCAAATCAAGAAACTAATCAGCTAATTGCTTTTTGAAAAATCAAAACTCAAACTGTCAACATCTCAAGAAACATTTATTGCAGGGAGTGATAGCCTCTTTCATAGCTTCAGAGTAAAAGAGCTCTGACGTCCATAATAAAAGGGTAACACATATCTTAGTCACTTTTCCACATTTACATTTCACAGCTGTAGAAGTGTTAAGCAAAGCTGGGCTGAGTGCAAGAATAATTGTTAAGTCATCTGCGTCCAAGCGACTCACAGATTCAAGCAACGCAGACCTTAGCTGAAACCACACTCATGTGTAAATCCTACATGACTACGCCTTTGATAAAAGCCTTATGGGTGTTGTAAAAGGAATTCACACCACCCATATGTGCTTTGGGCTTTTTCACTAGCCCAAGAAATTCAGCGTGTTTCAAACAGGGTGGAAAAGTCAGTAAGCCAGAGACAGCAGGAAAAGCAAAACCAGGAGTGGCGTACCACCACATACAATGGTGGATTCAGCAGGCACTGGTATATTCCCAACAACAGGCAGGAGTCTACACTCCCTCTGTAATAGCAGTCAGGCATCTGGTAATCATAAACTCAACATCGCAGATTTTCCACAACAGTGTTAGGAAACACTAACAAAGGCGCAACTTTAAAATGTACTAAACAGGTTTGGGGCAGAGACAAAGAGCATATGTGAATCCTGGAGCAGGGGAGAGGAAAAGTATTTTGGAAAATGTTGGACGTCTTCAATTCAGGGAAACCTCTGTCTTCGTTTATGGTTCAGTTAGGGAGCTGTCTTCATAGCTTAGCTGCAACTAATGATGACACCGGTTGGATAATGATGTTACCCAACTCACTCACTCTAATAGGGTACGGAATCAAACCCAGCTGCATCAGGTGGCATAACAAAAACATCTGAACCACCACGCAGTGATACTGGAGCTTTTTCAGCCACTACCCTAAAAAGTCATCCCACCTTTAAGGTTACCATATTTCAGAACCAAACAAAATGATCCTAATAGATAGCTTTTCCAGGGCAGTTAGAAATAATCTTAAAATTAAAGATGATACAGTAAACAAGTTTGCCTGCAATTTATTAAACTAGTAGATGGGACCAAGGCACCATAAAAACTTTTACTACAGCAGCCACGGTAGCTGAAAAGTCTGTTACAACTTATTTGACATCCCATATTTTCCTCTCTATATACTCTATTTTTTCCACAATGTATACGATTAATTAAGGGAAAGCATTTCCCAATTCATCAAGAGCCTCTGTTTCCATATAATTTTTTCCATCAGATTTCAATTTAAAATATTCGTTTCTGATGGTTGACAGTTTTTCAGCCCTTTCAAATATCATCTGATTCTAAAAGCCACCGAAACAAAGATGTGAACCTGGTGTTACAACACAGGTCAAATAAAATTTAGGACAGATTCTTCCTGGTCCCACTACCAGGTTTAGGGCAGCTGCACCTGCACTGACACCTAAGGACCCATTGGAGACAGCACATTAAGCTCGACACTGTCACTGGGAACCAGCACGGCTGCTCTTGTAGAGTTTCAGAAAAGCTAACTGAAGTATAAAAAATAAAATATGAAAGGTTTAAAGTGCATGTACTAAGCTCATAAGCCAAAATTGGCCCCAAATGCAAAAGCTCAAAATAATCTCCTGTAAAGACAGACGATAGAAATTTTATATTTTAAATTGCCAGTAGATTTTCAGGAGATTAACATTCCCTTGAAGGTTAGAACTGGAATGTTGTGGCCTGAGCCTTCAAGTTGCATCGAGTAAGAAACTACAGTTGGTTTCTTGTACCTTTCTTGGTCCAAAAAAGCAAATGGCAATAACACTGAGAAATGTTTAAATAGTAACTTAAAAATACGTAAAAGTTTATTTAGCACTAAAATTAAATGAATATCAACTAAAAAAAAAAAGCAAGGCTGTTGTTTGGGTTTGGGGCTTTTTTTTGTTTGAAAAAGAA